GGCCCTTTATAGCCCCGGCCCCCGTGTCGTCAGCGGCCGCGATTGGCTGCGGAGCCAACAAAAGAGGTAGCGCTGTCATCCGAGGCGAGAGAGGGAGCCGGAGAGAGCCGAGGAAGAGAGAGAGAGGGAGGGAGCGAGGGAACCCGGGCCCAGGGAGAGATGAAGAGATGGAGAGATGAGGGGGAGGAGGGAGGTTCCGAGGGAAAGTCCGGAGTCAGACCGAGGAGAGGCAGAGAGATTAGAGGAGAAGGGACAGATCCACAGAGACCGAGATGGGGCGAGGAGAGAGAGGGGAGAGACAAAGGACGGTAGAGAAGAATCAGAAGGGGAAAGACGGCGGGGGGGGGGGGGGGGTCAGCTAAAAGACTGCCAGAGAAGGGAAAAGACTGGGAGAACTACTGAGAGAGTTAGGATTTAGAGAGAGCGAGAGGGGGAGAGGGACAGAGGGACAGAGAGATCCCGAGAGACCAGAGAGCAGAGGGGCTAGACGGGAGACTGAGGTCTATAGGGCCGAACAGGAGAGATGGGTGGGTGGGGATAGATTGGGTGGGCACGGGGGAGGGGAGCAGAGGGGAAGGAGGCCAGTATCCTGAGAAAGAAAGAGGGACGGGCAGAGATCAGGAGACACCAAAGAAGCCCTTAAGGAAGCAGGTGTGGAGGATCAGTGGGGTGAAGGAGGAGACTCCTGAGGGAAGGAATAACAACCACACAGTCACCCTTGGTGGGATTACAGATGGGTGGGTGGAAGACTTGGGCCCAGAGGAGTCCCATCTATCACAGGTAACTGAAAGAAGGTGTTTAAAGAAGCCCTGGAGGGAAGCATCAGGCTGGCTTATTACAGGGATGAGGGAGATTTGGAAAGGAAGAGGCCAGGGGCAACCTGAGAAATTGAGGAGGTGATGGGAAGCACTGAGACAGGAGGAAGACTTACAATTGGGAGGACGGTGAGCTTGAAATTGGGGAGCAAAGGGAAGCAGCAGGCTGCCAAAGGTGGGAGCTGGAGACCTTGGTGGGGAGGAGCCCAGCCCGAGGCAGGGCTGTAGACCACTGTGCTTGGAGAGGACTCTGTACTGCTGGATTCCTAGATGTGTTCTCAGATCTGCAGGGTCCTTGATTCTGAGAATGAAGTTGCAGGGGTGAGGATGGGGGAGAGGTCTACACTCAGATGCCTGAGCTGGAGATGACAAGTTGCAAAGAGAGAAATTCAGATGTGGAACCACCCCTAGTTTTCAGGAGTGACCCTGGGTGCAGTCAGAGGACAGTGGAAAAGTGTCAATCAGCCAAATGGATTGGGCTGGATGTAGTGGCGCACACCTGTAGTCCCAGCACTAACGAGATGAGGCAGTAGGATCACCACCAGTTGGAGTTCAAGGTCCTGAACTGCATAGTAAGACTTTGTCTCAATAAATAAATAGAAGGGCCAGGGCCGGGGATTTAGCTCAGTGGTTCCACCGCTTGCTTTGCAAGCACAAGGACTGGAGTTCGAGCCCAAAATAAATAAATAAATAAATAAATAAATAAATGAATGAATAAATAAAATTTAAAAAAAATAGATAGATACTGCTTTGAAAGTGCTTAACTTCTGGTGCTACATACCTCTTCCCTGACCTCAGTTTCTTCAGGCTTATTTCTTCTCCACCTTGAGTCCCTAGAGATCACTAGATAAATTGAAAATGCTTGAGGGACTGGGATTTAGCTCAGTGGTGCCTCCACCTGCCTCACAAATCCAAGGTCCTGAGTTCAATCCCCATTCCAAAAAAAAAAAAAAGAAAGAACGAAAGAAAGAAAGAAAGAAAAAGAAAAAATACTTGAGGGGTTAGGTCTTGCTCATTTCCTGGCACATACAATGTTCACTGAGTAAATAGAGGAGCTTCATTATTGGGCATCTCAGATCAAATAGGCACTGGTTTCCTCTCTGGAATTAGAGCTCAATAAAATATCTTGGTGTTGGCTTGGAATAAGCTTAGTAACAGAGTTGAGGTGGGGTGCTCAAGTGGAATAAGAGAAGAAACTGAAGGTCCAAGTGGAGGAGAGAAAACTGAGTGAAGAGAGGTTAGGAAGTCTAATCCGGGGAGCTTTGACTAGATGATCCATTCCCACAGATAACAGATATTTAGAAAGCAACAGAATGGAACAACAGTAACAACAAAAAAACAAAAACTCAAGACAGATGGTTCCCTCCTTTGCTTTGGATGAAGTCATGGGTATCTCAGCATTTCATTGAACTTCCTTATGTATAATATGGGGATCATATTCCCTACCCTCAAATGGTTGTGAGAATTGCATACAAGTCAATCAATAGAGGCCTTCTTGGGTTTCTTCTCTTCAAGACTCTTCTCCTTTCCTTGAGATCTCCCAGAGCATTGATTGCCTTCACTGCATATTCTGGTGTGTCCTATCCTCCAGAATGTTTCTCTGATGTCATTTCCTCAGCAAAATTGCAAGCATCTTGAGAGTGGAGATGGTATCACCTCCTTCTGCTCCTTTAGGGCAGGTAGCCCATCCTTCACTTCTCATCAAACATGTATCTAGTGGTAGGTTCAGAGAAAAATGAGATGCAAAGGTACCTAAGGCTCAGCTCCTTTTCACAAGGAACATGTAGACCAGACGAGACAGTAGGTGAGCAGGACCAGCCCAAACTCCAGGCCAGAGTGCCTCCATCTGGATGATGACCTAGAATTTTTTTCTTCCCTACAATGTGCCCCACCTTGCAGTTTTTCATTCAGTGAATGACAATCATCCAGGCTAGATACCTGGATATTTCTAATCTCCTAGTTCTTTCATCATCTCTGAATCTTTACGTGGTTTGTTTCTTCTGTCTAGAACAACTGCCTGGCTCAGGGTGGAGCTCAGTGGTAGAGCACATATTCGACATGTGAAGTTCTAGGTTTGATCCCCAGCATTCAACTCCCACTCCTGAATCTCTTGGCTAAAGAAATTTCTTTGAGACAGGGTCTCGCTCTGTAGCCCAAACTGGCCTTGAACTCACTATGTAGCCCAGGCTGGCCTTGGACTTGCAGCCATCCTCCTGCTTCAGTCTTGCAGGTACTGGGAATACAGTGCACTATCGTGCCTGGCCTCTTGGCTAAATTTACTATTTCTTGTGTCTCAGTGTGGATTAGATTTTAGATGTGCTATCCACGAGTCCTTTCCTGACTCTAGTTTCTTGATTAGAACTAGGCTGCCTGGGTTCCACTCCCAGCAATCTCCCCTTTTTGGCTGTGTGAGCTTGGACAAACTATTAAATCATCTTATTCCTCAGATTCTTCATTTGTAAGACAGAGATAAAAGAACCATTTCATAAAGTTATGAAGATTAAATTCCGACACACCATTTTCACTCCTCCTCCTTCTTTTCTGTTTTATGGAAGATTGAACCCAGGGCCTTCACACTGAGGTACATCTCCACCCTTTTTATTTTTATTTTGAGTTAGGGTCTTGCTGAGTCACTGAGTAGCCCATGCTGGTCTCAAATTTGAAATCTTCTGGCCTCAGCCTCCCAGAATCCTGGGATCACAGGTATGTACACTGCCAAGCCCAGCGTTGACACACCATTCTAAATGCATTAGTCATTAATCTTACCTCAACTTATAATCCTCACTGTGAGACCCAGTACAGCAGGAAATTTTTCACCATAGTTTTCCTCAACTGCTTAGAATAAAGAATGAACAAACCAGGTGTGGAGATGAACTTTTGTAATCCTGGCTGCTCAAGAGGCTGAGCCAGGATTGAAAGTTTGAAGTCTGATAGGTTATATTTCCAGGATTCAATCTCAGTACAGGGAAGAAAAAGGGGGCCTTGGTAAGTGCACCAAGTCAGACAGAGCTGGACCTTGCTAAGAGTACCTAAACAGAGTTGGGGAAGAGAGAACTGTATTTTTGGGTCCATGAGGTGTTACTGTTGTCTGCCAAATACCAGGGAGTTAACACCAAGAACAACTTCAACTTGTGAGACAGGATTTCCATCTGACTTTCTCCGCACGTTTTGTTGTTGTTGTTGTTGTTTTTTAAAGAATTAAAGGCAATTCAATGGATAGACAAGATTGCCATCTGGCGGTAGAAAACCTACAGCGAGCTCTCCTCTCATACTTTATACTGTATTTTTCATTTTAGACCTCTAGTCTGAGAAGTGTCTGGTGATAGAACCCAGGACGTCGTGCTCTACCTCTGAGTTACATCCTTGGCTCGAAAAATTCTGTATCATAATGGAGTACACCTTTCCCTTTTTTCTAATCCCTTCTACATTCATATCCTCTCTCTCTCCCCTCCCCTCCCTCTCCCTGTCCCTCTCCCTCTCTCTCTCCTGGGCTCGAACTGGCAGCGATCCTCCTGCCTCAGCCTCCTGAGTGCTGAGATTACCGGCATGCGCCACCCCACCCGACTAGAGGTCCTGTTTTAAGGTCCCTTGGCTTGGTCCTGTTGGGTTTCCCCGAAGTGCCGGAACTAACTCCGAGAAGGTTTCTTTTAGGAGCTTCAGCACTTCAGCAGCACCAGACCCTATTCTGAGGGGGGATAGCTTCACAGAAAAGGAGTTGGAAGAGGGCTTGACATTAAGATCTTTACTTATCCCTGTGCAAGATGTGGTTTGGGGTCCCGCCCACTGTCCTGATCTCCCAGGCAACTGTCTTCCTCCCCGGGGTGCCCCTTTCCCGGCGTTACCCGGAAACCTTCAAGCCCGCCTCCTTCAAGGTCCTAACTGGTTGGTAGCAAATGTGGGTCGGGGCCTAAGGAAGGCATTTAAGTTTGAAGGTTGTGAGCTGCGGGAGAGGAGGCAGTGTTCCAGGGGAGGGAGTAAAGTTCAGGACCTGCGGGAGGGAGGACGCGGATTGCTGGCGTGTCCTCTGGTTGAGAGTTTATTGCCCTCTTGGGAAGCCCGATCCCAGGGTTCGAGGCCAGAGACGCTTGGGCCGCTCCTAGAGGTGCTGCTGCCAGAATCGGGGAACCACTGCAGGAATACCTATTTTCTGTCCTCTCAAGGGAAGACGCCTAATCCTACCTCCTTTCACTTTTTGCTCCCGAACACCTCATTTTGGGAATCAGTGGGTTCATTCCCTGGCACTGCAAGGCTTTCTTAGGGGGGAGGGGCGGGCTGGTGAAGCTGTAGCGGAAGCCTCCCTAGAGGAACCCCCCTCCATGTGTCTTTAGGGGCTGGGGAGGCTGTTCTGGGACTGGGTGGTACATATGTTGATGAAGTAGACCCTTCTCAGACCTCTGTCCCACAAACCCTGGGGCGCCCCTGAGAGGATCTCACTGTATAATTACCATCCTCTCCACAGCATATTCTAAACCCTATAATTATCTTGCCTGGGTGTCTTGCCAGCCCTGTTAACCTCTTTAGCCCCAAGGCCTTCTAAGAGAAGTTGAGGAAGGGAGCCAAAGAATTTGTATTGGGGGCTATCGTGGTAGTATGGAACTGTAATACGACTGCTGGGAGACAGTGTTATTTGGGGTCACTACTTCCTTTGCCTCTGGCCTCCCGGAAAAACCCATGTCCACCTCCAATCAGTTTCCTCTCACCCTCTTAGCACAGGAAGGTCAGCCCTCCAACTCCGCTGGGGATGAGCTCTTTCCTCCCTTCACTTTTGGTCTCCCCAGGCCTCTCCACCTCTTTCTTGTCCTTCTCACCTGTTGCTTCCTCTCCGGATCCAGCGGGTGGGGGAGGGCTTAATGCTGGCTCTGATGAGGGCGGTGGCGGTAGCCGGTTGCGCTGCCCAGCAGTGCCAGCAGGAGGCGCCATATCCCAGCTGCTGGGCAAAGGAGCAGTACGGGCAATGTCTCCTGCCTCTTCCTCTTCCTCGTTTTTTTGTTTTTTTTCTGGTACCAGAGATCGAACTCAGGACCTTGCGCTTGGGAGGCAGGCGCTGCGCCACTGAGCTAAAACCGCCCCCCCCCGGGGGCCATTTTGAAAGGGTCTTGTTAAAATCACTAAGTTGCCATGCTGGACTCAAACTTGCAATCCTCCTACCTCAGCCTCTCAGTGCTGAGACCGAAGGTGTGGGCTACCACAACCCTCAAATTGAAGGCTGTAAGCATTTTAAAGGCAGAGGCGTATCTTACTGATCTCCATATAGTCCCAGTGCCTGGAGGGGATAGGCTTCCAGTTAGTGGATGAATAATTGAATGAACTCTTCCTCAGTTCCTGCCTAGGCCTTTCAGTTCCATGGAAGAGATGTGTGAGGTGACCACCTGATCCCCAGCATGGTATCTTTCTCATTGCTCCCATGTTCGTCTGTGCTCCACCTCAGCAGGAGCCTTAGCTGTGAGGCTCTGTGACTCAGGTGAGTGCTGCTCTGCTCCTGTGCCCAGTCCTGGACCAAAACCGCCTGGCTTTAGGATTCTGGCCCAGGTGGTGCCCCAGGGAGCCTGAGCCTGGCTGGGATCCTGCCTGATGTCCAGCTGTGTGAGTAAATCCCATTGTTAACGGTGACCAGCGGGAAGATGGGGAGAATGTGGGAGGTCGAGGGCTGGAGCCCAGGACCAGAGAAAGGAATGGGGACTGGCCTGTGAGGACCGTCTGGTGGGAGCTGGTTGGAGGAGCAAGTGGGTTTGGAATAGGAACTGGGCCTTAGGGCTTGAACTGGGGGTTCAGGCCAAGGCCAAGGTGTGAGGGAGGGGCAGAAATAGGCTGGGTTGCCCCTCCCAATTTGTACATTGGCCACCTCTGTTGGGATGTCTAGATGCTTTTCAAAGCCCAAATAATTTGAAGTCCCATGAGTCTAAACACAGGGTATGATAAAGCCCAATCATTTTTTTTTTTTTGGTACCGGGGATCGAACTCGGGTCCTTGCGCTTGCGAGGCAGGCGACGGAACCACTGGGCTAAATCCCTGGCCCAGGCCCAATCATTTTTTTAGGGCCTGGGGAACAAAATCAGGGCTTCGTGCATGCTAGGCAAGGACATACCACTGAGCTATAGCCCCAGCCCAAGCCTTATCTTTTTCTTTCTTTGTTTTTTTGAGATAGTGTCTCACTATGTAGTTCAGGCTGGTCTTGAACTCTGGCGATCTTCCTGCCTCAGCCTCCTGAGTGCTGGGATTTCAGGTGCACACCATCAAGCCTAACTTGTTTGTTTGCTTTTTTTTTTGTACTGGGGATGGAACTCAGGACCTTGTGCTTACAAGGCAGACGTTGGCACCACTGAGCTAAATCCCCAGCCTGTTTGTTTGCTTTTTGAAACAAGGTCTTGCTATGTAGTCCAGCCTGGCTTGAACTTGCTATGTAGTCCATGCTGGTCTTGAACCTGAGATCCTCCTGCCCTAGCCTCCTGAGTGCTAGGATTACAGGCATGTGCCACATACTCGGCTAGCATTATCATTCTTTTTTTTTTTTTTTTAAACTTTCTCTGCCTTTTACTGATTAAAAAAAAAGCCAATCTGAAATGAATGTAGAGGGCAACCTGCAGCCATACAATAAGCAGCAGATAAAACTGTAGATGACGCAAAAGAGTTTTTTGCAAGAGAAGCTGAGCCGGTCCCAGCACCCAGAAGGAAGCTCCCTACCACCATCCCAGGCTCCTAGGGCAGAGAAGCTGAGCAGGTCCCAGCACCTGGAAAGAAGCCTATCATTCTTAAGGTAACTAAACCAATCTCTCATTTCTTATGTGATCCTCATAACGGCCCTATGAGAGGAGGAAGGAGTTCTTTTCTTCGTGCTCTACTGGGCAGAAACTGAGGCTCAGAGAGAATGAGGGCCTAACCCAGATCACTTGCTTGCGAATTGGCAGAACCAGGTCTCACCCTATGGCATCTACCTTGGGAGCCTCCCAACGGGCCGGTGTGACAGACTCAGCACTGAGGTTAGTGTGTCAGGACCCTGCATCTTTTTTTTTTTTTTTTGGTACTGGGGATTGAACTCGGGTCCTTGTGCTTGCAAAGCAGGCAGCAGAACCACTGAGCTAAATCTCTGGCCCCTAGGACCCTGCATCTTATCTGCAAGTTGATCCCCAGTAAGTGGTTTCATCTCTTTGAGCTTCACTTTCCTTCTTCTTCCTTTTTTGTTTTTTTTTTGGGTTTTTTGTTTTGTTTTGTTTTTTTGAGACAAAGTCTCAAAATATGAAGTTCAGGCTGGCCTTGAATTTTTGATGATCCACCTCCCTCAGCCTCCTGAGTGTTGGGATTACAGACGTGCGCCATCACGGCTGGCTCCTTTCTTTTTCTTTTCTTTCTTTTTCTTTTTCTTTTTCTTTCTCTTTTTTTCTTTTTCCCTTCCCTTCCCTTCTCTCTTTCTCTGTTTCTCTCTGTCTTTCTGTCTCTGTCTCTCTCTCTCTTTCTCCCCTACTGGGGACTGAACCCAGAGCCCTCTCATTGAGTTACATCCTCAGTCCATTTTTTATTTTAAAACAGGATCTCCTTGAGTTGTTAAATTGTACAACCCAGGCTCAAATTTGCAATCCTTCTCCCTCAGCCTCCCAGAGTGCTGGGATTACAGGTATGCACCCCCCCCACCCCCGCTCCCCGACTGAAATGAAATGAAATTTCAGTTTCATTGCACAGCAGACATGGGAACTTTGGCAGTGTTCTCCTGGATACTACAGTGATCTTTTTTTTTTTTTCTGAGACAAGGTCTCACTATGTAGTCCAGGGTGGCCTTGAACTCATGGGTGTCCTCCTGCCTCAGCCTCCTGAGTGCTGGGATCACAGGCATGCACCATCACACCTAGCTACAGTGACCTAATCTTGCCCACTATGAAGTGTGTGGCTTCCCTAGACAGCAGGGGGCAGTGAGTTGGCCACCCACAGTGACTGGAGGCTGCCTTCTATGACTCTAGACTCAGCCACCCAGGGCACCTGTGGTGATGTCACTAGGGAGACAGGGCATGGTCTCTTCTTCTTGGGCCTGCACTCAGTGCTGGTGCTGAGGGCTGGGACAGACTCTGGGGAGCTTTGTGGTCTGTGAGTCTTCCAGCAGGACTTCCAGAGCCAGCATCAGCATCTGTGCTTCTCTCCTTAGCTGAAGCTGGGACTTCTGGGTTTACATATCAGGGCGCCCCGCCCCCCCTCAGACCCCTCTTGACCTTAAATTGCAGCCACTAGTCTTCCTCCTCCTCTGTGCTGTGGTGATGGTCTTGATACTGATGCAACCTTTCTATCCTCCCCACTCCCAGCCCCACCTCCTCCTCTTCCTTCCCCACTGCCTTATCTTCCCATAGCCCCATCTTCCCTCTGGCCTCCCACCCGCCTCTGCTTTCCCTGGTGTCTCCTCACCCTCCTCATGCCCTGCAGCTTCTCTCTTCCCTTGTGTTTCTCCACCCTTTCTCTTCCGTCCCCACCTCCCCATTTCTTTATTCCTTCTTGTCTCCCTCCACCAGCAGGCCAGGGCCTCTCCCGTCACACCACCCACATCTTGTGCCTCAACTGTCCCCACTCCCACCACAGGGCACGGGAAGGTGGCCCAGGCTCCTGTGGAGTGGAGGGGTCGAGGTGTCTGTGCAGCAAGCGGCAGGCTCCGTGAATCTATCTGGCCTTCAGGAGGCCTGGGATGCCCTGCATCTGGCCGATGCTATGGGGTGTCAAGAGGTGGAACCTTTGCCAGGGACACTTGCAGCCGTATGTCCTCCTGCTGGCCCTGGGTGGAGGCTGACAGAGCTGTATGGAAGCCTGGCTTTGCTTTGTGGAGAGGGACAGAGGTCCCTGCCCCAGCTTGCTTGCCAGTGCGCACACCGTGGAGTGGAAACTGCGCACACCACGGCAGCTTGGCGGCACTCAGGATGCAGGCACCGGGGCAGGTGCTGAAAGCGATGAAGGACACCATGCGGAGCGCTGGGTCCGAGCTCAGCCTGCTCCCACTTAGACAGGGCTCTGGGGTGACTTCCTAGGCTGGACGAGGGGAGTGTCCTGTTACTATTATTTATTATTAAGATATATAGAACATGAAACCTACCATTTTAACTACTTTTTAATTTTATTTTTTGTTAGTACATGTTTGCAGTCTATAATGATTATATTTATTGTGAGGAGTTTGGGCATGTTAATCTTAATTATTTAATTATTAATTATTATTTAATTATTAATTATCTTAATTATTTTTTGTTGTTGTTTTGATTTTTTTTTTGTATCGGGAATCGAACTCAGGTCCTTGCACTTTCGAGGCAGGTGGTGGAACCACTGAGCTAAATCCCCAGCCCCTACCAGGGATCGAACTTGTTTTGATTTTTGAGATGAGGTCTCACTGTGTAGTTCAGGTTGGACTTGAGCTCACTATATAGCCCAGGCTGGCCTCAAAATTTTAATCTCCTTGCCTCAGCCTCCTGAGTTCTGGGATTACAGTCTGTGCCACCATGCCTGGCACACATTTTAATTCTTTTTTGTCTCTTTCTTCTTCCATTCCTCCTTGTTCTCTCCAACTCTTGTTTCCCTTCTCATTTGAAAAAGATGTTGCTGCTTCCTATTATACATATTTTATTTTGCTCTTTATATTTTGGATTTCTCATATAAGAGAAACCATGTGATATTTAAACTTGTATGTCTTATTTATTTCACTTAACATTATGGTCTCAAGGTACATTCATTTACCTACAAATACCTCAAGTTTATCTTCTTTATGGCAGAGTAGTACTTCATTGTGTATAAATACCACATTTTCTTTATCCATTTATCTGTTGATAGGCATATAGGCTGCTTCCAAGATTTAGTTATTATAAATTTTGCTGCTTTATACATGCACATGCATGCTTTATACATGGGTGTGCATGTATCATTGTGATATGATGACTCCAACTCTTTTGGGAAGATTTCTAGAAGAAGAATAGCTGCATTGAATGAAATTTCTATTTTTAGTATTTTGAAGAATCTCCATAGTCATACTAGTTTACATGCCCACCAACAATGTAGTTGGGTTCTCTGCCCCCCCCCCAGTATTTGTTGTTATTTGATTTCTTTTCTTTTTCTTTCTTTCTTTCTTTCTTTCTTTTTCTTTCTTTCTTTTTTTTTTTGGAATCAGGATTTTGCTGTGTAGTTCAGCCTGGCCTTGAACTCACTATGTAGCCCAGCCTGGTCTGAAACTTATGGCGATCCTCCTGCCTTAGCTTCTCCAGTGTTGGGATTACAGGCATGTGCTACCACCCTTAGCTCTGTTATTTGATTTCTTTTTTTTTTGTTTGTTTGTTTTATTTTTATTTTTTGGTACCGGGGATCGAACTTGGGACCTTGGGCTCACGAGGCAGACGCCAGAACCACTGAGCTAAATCCCGGCCCTGTTATTTGATTTCTTGATGATAGCCGTTCTTTCTGGAGTAAAGTGGTATCCTAATGCTATTTTAATTTGCATTTCTCTAGTGGCTAGTGATGTTGAACATTTTTCATGTATTTATTGGCTATCTGTACTTTGAGAAGTATCTATTTCGGTTGCCCATTTTTTGATTGAGTCTTTTCTTTTGGGGGAGCGGCTAATTTTTTTGAGTTGTTTATATATTCTTCTTTTTTTTTTCGTACCGGGGATCAAACTCAGCACCTTGGGCTTGCGAGGCAGGCAGCTGAACCACTGAGCTAAATCCCCGGCCCTGTTTATATACTCTTGATGTTAGTCCTCAGTTTGAGGAATAGCTGGCAAAAATTCTTTGCTATTATGCAGCATTCCTTTTGCTATTCTGGATCTCTTCTGATTACATTTGAATTTTTTGATTGTTTTCTCTAAATCTGTGAGGAATATTGTTGGTATTTTGATTGGGATTGTGCTAAATCTATATATCAGCTTTGGAAGTATAGCCCTTTTGACTGTATCTGCTCTGCCTATCCAGGAACATGAGACATCTCTGCATTTTCTCTTTCTTTCTTTCCTTTTTTTTGGTACCGGGGATTGAACTCAGGTCCTTGTGCTTGCTAGGCAGGCTGTGGAACCACTAAGCTAAATCCCTGGCCCATCTCTCCATTTTCTGATGTCCACTTCAATCTCCATTTTTCGAGTGATGTAATCTTCATTGTAGAGCTCTTTCACTTTCTTAGGTTAATTCCTAAGTACTTTTAAATGTTATTCATTTATATATATTTTTTCATTTTTCGAGACAGGGTCTTGCTAAGCAGTCCAGGCTGGCCCTGAACTCACTATGGAGCCGGGCTGGCCTTGATCTCATGGTGATTCTCCTGTCTCAGCCTCTCTCCAGTGCTGGGATTACAAGTTACTATTTAATTTTTCTTGATGCTACTAAGAATGGTATTGTTTTCCAGAATTTCTTTCTCAGTAAATTCATTATTAGTATATAGGAATGGTATTGATTTTTTTATTACATTATTTTTTTATTTTATTAGTACATTTTAGATAGACATAATGATAATATTCATCATAGGGAATTTGTACCTGTACATGATATATCTTGCTTCTTTTTTTCTCATTCCCCTCCTCTCCCTTCGATCCCTCTTTCCCTCTTTATTTACAAAATCTTTGTTTCTTTTTTTCTTTTTTTTGGTACCTGGGATTGAACTCAGGACCTTGTGCTTTTGAGGCAGGTGGCGGCACCACTGAGCTAAATCCCTGGCCCTCTTGTCCTTTCTTTCCTTTCCCTCTCCCACCTCCCTTGTGCCCCTTCCCATTTGAATATTTTCTTCCCATTTCTCAATACCTATTATACATTTTGGTCCTTATTTACACTTGGTTTCTCACACCAGAGAAACAATGTGGTATTTAAACATGTGCCTTCAATTTTTCTCACATAAGAGTATGATCTCAAGGTGCATCCATTTAGCTAGAGATATCTGAAGCCCATCCTTCTTTATGGCAGGGTAGTACTGCATTGTATAAAAAAATCATGTCTTCTTTTTTTTTTTTGGTACCGGGGATTGAACTCGGAACCTTGCGCCGG